CCTTGTCAATTGAGTACAGAGCCGCAACGAGGTCTTCAAGTAGCTAGCCGGCAGCACCAGGGACAAAGACAAAGGAACGTTGTTGGCAACATACAAGGCAATTGGCCGGCCGGTTCTAAACTATGCAGCGCCCGTGTGCGCCCGCCGGTGGCTAGCAGGACGCAGTGAGCGAAGGTACAGATATGCCAGAACACGGCACTCCGGACCGCGACAGGTTGCCTTCTGATGTCGCTTCAACGCCACCTTCATGACGAGTACCATATATTTCACATCAAGGAGCATAACACAATGCTCTGTAATGAGTTCCTGGTAGAGTGACACAGACGTGGGCATCCAAACAGACAACTGATTGCAGAAGAACCACCGCCAAGGCACGTCAGGAGGCATCTCTACGGTTCCGACAGGCCTTAAATGGCATTCACAGGGAGTCGATCGCGGGTTATTTAGACTCCTGACCTGTTAATACCGTTTTGGGCACACAACCACTCGCCGTAGACGAGACAGAGCTTTGTCTGCCTCGGGAGACTCGCAGGACAATATCCCAACTTCGCTCTGGCTACTGCAACAGGCTAAACTCATGCCTGAGCAGAGTGAACGCAGATGTGCCCAATGAGTGCACCTCTTCACCAAAAACCCTATCCGGTGGAAGTTGCACACTTCTTTGGCCTTCCTTTAGCTGAGCCTGACGACAACAACAATAGTGCTTAGGTTCGCCTCAGTCTGTCTGCTACCTTTTATACTGGTTCAGTAATGCTCTGCTACCTTCTTCATCCAGTTATAAAAATTCCATCGCAGACCGATAAGTTGTTTGGGCCTATGTAAGCCTGTCCAACCTCTACATATCTGCCACTCTATTGCCCATGACTCTACCATGTCCCGTTACTCAAATGAGGCTAACCTATGTGCTATGAGTGTTAAGAGCTGAAGGATATTCCTCACCAGCTTTGAGGGGCCCTCGTGTGCTCTCAAGTCGACTAGCGCCGTCTTGCCTGTCAGATTGTATATCGCAGAGCACCCTACTCTCAGCATACTGCTTCGGACATAATTCAATGGCATGCACCTCAGTCTGAAAAACTAAGTTTACTTGAGAAAGAGCCTTCTAAATTGTATTCTAGAGACCCATCAGTATACCCTATGTAGCTAACGGGTGATTTTTTTGAGGTTAGGATTTTCATGCATTAGTATTTGACAGATCACGTGGGATTTCAGACATGGTGTCAAAGAGAAAGATGCTCAGTATGCTTTGACATTTCATCATGAATAGACTTACTAACGAGCAACGCTTGCAAATCATTGAATTTTATTACCAAAATCAGTGTTCGGTTCG